ATCGTCCTGACTCAATCGCAGTCGTGGTGCGTCTCTCCGGACTCAAAGTGGACACGCGCCGCTGCTAGGAGGAGTGCTTCAGCCCCGCTCAGGCCGACAAAGAGGAGGTGTCACAGATGGCGGTCATTGCTCGTTGCTCTGACCCCTACGCCTACCTCATCAACCTGAATTCGAATGAGGAGGACGACAACTAGTCTAGGTAGTATTGTCGATTAACGACATTGTAAAGTCGCAAACTATATGTAATGTGGCACATTTTGGCCACTAAGTATATGTAGCCTAGTTCCTAACTAATATAGTTGATAATTATCATGCCGATACATGTGTTTACATAGGTTAAACTGAGCTTAAATTGCCCCTACAAATTTGAAGGGGATTTGACAAAAACAGATAAATAAAAATTTATGGAGGCAGCCGTTTGGCGACTTTGTACTTTTTACCACAGTACATACGCAAGCGCTCATACATACGCGCATACACTTACCCTTATGAACGCACACACGCATATCCTACCCCTATGAGCACCTTCGAGAGACTGAGCCGGCATATCATCTTGAGATTTACGAAGTCAACGTAGGCACCTCATCGTCGATGGGAACGTCTCCTTCCACTGAAAGCGTATCGCCGAAAATCTTGAAATAAATCCAGGAATAATGCGAGCACCAAGACTTGAACCCTGATGGATTGAGAATACCACTGTCCCTCTAGCCATCCAACCACAAGTTGGTTCGCCGACTCCGTGTTTGTGCACAAGCCCGACAACCTATAAATCCATATGAAATATGCTCGATATGCGATATGGCGACTACCCGATACGATAACTCTACTAGAGTTGCTCTTATAGCAAGAAATTTCGGTGGACTGATTTCTTTCTCCAAAAGGTATCCTTAGGGAAAGAAAAATCTAAGGACTCTAATCATGCAAATCAAACAAGTAGGATTTTTTTAAGAATTAAATCCTCTATAAAACTTCTAATATTCCTTTGAATCAAATAATCCCCTTTTTCTTTTACCCGAGCAAATTATCTTACAGCTCGTTAGCTCGCCGGTTGATAGTTCACATGGTATAAAAACTCATAGAGGGAAACACAATATCTATTTTTTTATTTTTTTCGAAACCAAGGCAAAAAATTGCCTCATCGATTAATTAAGAAGAAGAGAATTGACCGGTTAATTAATGGAAAACTGGACGAAAATCGATACATATAGATCATGCGGACTACTCGTTAAGAAAGAAACTCCATGACTCCACGGTCAACCCGACAAACATACATAACATGCAACAGCCACGAACCCTGGCACTTCTATGTCGCAAACAAACCCTCAACAAAATCAAGATTGAATACATCGGACGCCACGAAATCCATAGAGACGAGCCAGTCAGAGATGGAGGACGAAGAGACTGAGTATCCTCCATTAAGCAGCCGCAGACGCCTTATCAATGGCGACACTCTTCTTGCCTATGCTCCTGAGAGCCTTGTTTACTTTCTTTATTTTGCCTGTAGAAACCTCATCCACTAAAAGGCAAGCAATCACACTGCAAGACCCAGGACAAGCTATCTCCAAGGAGGCGAGTAAGCGGCCAAGTTTTTTCACGAAGACCGCCTCGTCAATACGTGTCAACATAGCGTCACGGTCAAACATGGGCGACCGAACGGGCTTCATCACCTCATAATTAGCTGCCAAAGCACCTATCTCATCAACCTCAGCACCCACGGACGCCACCTGGGCAACAACCTCAGGTGAGAGCGCAATAGCAGCGTCCAAACCTCCACGGTCCACAAAGGCGAGCAGCCGACTGGGCTCCAACGACGACAGTGTGGTCGTAGTCAGAATCGCCAAGTACTCTCCAAGCGACCCCATCTCCTTAGGAAGCACCATCTAAATAGGCGAAGTGGGCTCCCCATAAATCTTCTGCAACACCGGAGCCACAACCTCGACAACGGCTTCACTCCCGAAAGCAATCGGCACGACATGCAACGACAACCAACAGGATGTAGCACGAGGGGAGAGATCTCCATACATGTCTGTGGCAGAACCAACCAGGATCTCGGGTGACAGGGACAAATCAGGGGCAACCCCAATCTGAAGCTCAAGCAGCGGAGACACATCCGGCACCACCTCTAGTTTGGCAAGAGCGGCCTCCGCCCTCACCAAAACACTCCCAACTCGCGCAAGGCAATCATGAAGCTCAGTGCGAAGCAGCTTGGTTTCGAGCCAAGACAAACTGGAACTGCACGTCTGTCATGAAGACATCACTAGTGGATGCAGGCGGTGGAGCATGACCTTGGGGCGGCAAAGCTTGGTGGACAAGCTTCTTAGCGCGGCAGAAGCGGGTGATGTGACCAAATCAAAGGCAATTCGTGCATCGGATTGGATCCCCGCAGGAGTGTGCATGACAATATCTAATTTTGACATGCGAAACCTTCCAATAAGATGACCTTTGTTTGCTCAACAGCCTCAGTCGTGTATGAGTGCAAAACAGTTCAGTACAATATACAAGTCGTTTTGCATTTCTTTAAGTTTGACTGGAAGTAATTCACACAAGTTCGCTGTCACAATAGTGATGATTGATGTATGAAACCATGGAATTTTCTGTATCGTCCATCTTCGCGGACACTGAGACTGGAGAGCAACCTGAAAGCTCTTATCGGCTAGGGCTTTCTTTCTACATGGACGCCGCCACTGCCTTCCAGAACAAAGAGGCCATTCAGCATGTCAGGATGAGGCCTTTGCAGCCTGTAGCATTTCCACAATAAGTGTCTTCACATCCCTGTAAAAGCACAGGACCGTTTAGAGTCAATCAATTGAGTAATCAGAATAAGCATGTCTTAGTTACCAATTAAACCGTCATTCAGCAGATTGAAAACCTAGGAGGCCTTGATGAACAATGCAAGTGACAAAATGCATAATCATCCCCAAAGAAGGGAACATGTTATGTATAAACCCAATTTTAACAACAAGATTATGAAGAGAGTAGCAAATATAAGTATAGAGCAGAATGGAGAAATGAGTATGCATGAATTATAACTATGGGGAAAATATAATAGAGCAGGAACTAACTTTCTGTCTTGCGCACGTCTAGGGAAGGGAATTCGCAGCTTCAGAACAGTTCCATCATAGCCAGCCTGCACAACAAGGAAAGTGTCAATTACCATGTTACCACACCGGTTGGCTTTGACTAGAATATAGCATGGCACATTAAAGGTCTGGTTAAGTAAATTCAAAGATATGAAAGGATAGTGCATCATTGTCCAACCAAAGAACAGCCTTTAGCCACTAAAAAAAAGAACATCCCTGGGAATAAATTGTCTATTTCGAATTCTGTTCTGATCGTCAAAACCGCTAATACAGTGCATATGACAATTTACTGGTCGACTATCGGAGCTGAGGGTAGAAAGCATTCACAAGACAACATCGCTATGATTCATTGATATTTTTTTTTGCCAAACAAGAAAAAGACACAGCCTTTGTATAGTTATTACTTATTACATCCCCATTTTTGAAAGAGGGGAGCCTCGACAGTAATTTTCTATTGAAAAAAAAGGAGATATGTACAACAGAGG